CTAGTAGCTTCTTGCTCCTAGTAGTAAGGCCAAGAGCTACTAGTAGCGTCCTTGCTCCTTGTAGCGATGCCAGGAGCCCCTAGTAGCTGTTTGCTCCTAGTAGTAAGGCCAAGAGCTACTAGTAGCGTCCTTGCTCCTGTGAAATGCCATGTCGTGCATTTATCACACTTTTACATACTTTTACATTTGAGATTTGTTTGAATCCAACATATTTTTTATTTAAAACTTTTCGCTAGACTCTAGAGATTCGTCCTGACACTGCATACTGGAGCCATTGATATCGTTCCGGCGATGGGAACCACCAGAGTGCCACGTAGACCGGCTCCAAAACCCTCTCGACGCGTTGGGATGTTGTTTTCTTCCAAAACCGCACCGCACTCGCCCACGCGACACACTTGAACTTTCTTTAAGACACTTGTTTTGATACGTTATACCGGTATTTGCGTACTTTGAATAGCCTTCAATCTACACTTAAAATTGAGAAAGAAAAAGAACAAGGGGAAGCCTTGCGCGCACAAGGACTAGATGACATATCTCATTTACAGAATGTCCTAAGTACATGGGAAAATGAAGGACAGGAATGGACATTTACAGAGGAACTCCATGAACTAGTTGCGCAAGCATGCCCTGCTGGAGCACAGATCGCCAAGTGTGCCTGGATATTTTTCGGCAATTGAACTGGCGCCATCCAGATCTTCCTTCGCGAAAACCGATTATGGCATCACATGGTATGAGCTCGTGATTCACTTTTCACTTTTTGCAGGTAGATGTATGCCCATTTGGATCAAAGTCCAGGAAAATCAACCAGCACACCCATTTGAGTTCTTTTCACCAGAAGTATCATTGCAAAAACCTGAAGTTAGAAGCCTGTGGCATTAAGCTACTAACTTTCGAAATGTTGTACAGTACTTGGAGAGCACAGCCCAAACTAAGTTGTACCCTCGGTATGGCAAAACAGGTGCTTCTACCATGGTGCGATTGGGTTATCATCATAGTTTGGTGGGGGGAATTGCATCTCGTCCAACACTTCCACAACGTGAACAGGCGATGCAATTGTTGCGCTATGCCTCATCACCAGGCCAACCCTATCCTCTGAATGTTCGCCTACCCTTTGTGCCAAACTTGTCGTGTGCCATTTTTGGCCATCATTTGCCTGCTGATAAACTTTCTCGAAATGCCATAATCTTTACCAACGGGTAAAGAAGTGTATTCGTTCCCGTACGCCTATAGATTCCATAGGTCTTGATCAGTGAATTAGTAATTGGTCCGTCAAGCATGAGCAGTTCGTCATAATTCGCGTTTGTTTCAACCTGGGATATTCCGGTTAAACATGCGGTTTCGTTGCACGTTTTGTTACAGAGTTGGTGTCTAGTCTACCCTCCGGTACACCCCAATGGGGAAGGACTGGGAGGTGCGTTTGGATTGAAGCGCAAGTTGTGTCTGATACGTGATACCGTCATATTTTGATGACTAAGAAAAGGGTGGTGTGATGCATCTTGGCCAGGATGTCCTTCAACATTGCAATCAAGGCACTTTCTGAAAGGCAAATTGCAGTGCTTGAGATTTTCTTGAGATGATATTGTAGGCAGCCGGCAGCTCCGGAAACATGACGAAAAGTGTGGACTGGTGCGCAACAATTGCCAGGCATTTGAGTGGCAAATACATTCGACACTCACCAGCTTGAGACACTGAAACCAATGCCGCCAGAGATCGTATATTATAATTTGAGTGCCATTGTGCCTCATTTGTCGGGGTTGCCGGGTCTGATAATTACACGCAAAGTGTGGCCGAGACCGCGATGCCTAGCCTTCCACGTACAAGGTCCCTTGCCACCTTGGGAATCCTTTGGAAGGGCCCCACTGAATATCCAGCTGCCGACGCCGGAAGGTTTAGAGCCAGGTCTGCCACTACTTTTGCTCTCTCTCCCTCTCTCTCTATGTAATTTCGGCCCCGTAATTAAAGACGATAGGTGCTGTTAGCGAGTGTTTCCCGCAGCATTGGCTCATAGCCGTGGATGTGGGGGCACGCCTTGTCGTGCAACTGCACCCTCTGTCCATCACTCCGGAGGGTGTTCCGGGTGGTGACAGAAGGGACACGGATCGAGCCAGATCTCTTCGTGGGCTACGCCACCATCAAGGTGAGGAACTTGGTCGGCGAGCTCGAAGACTTTTTGGACGCGCACAGGCCGCAGGTACGGGAGGAACCGGCACTTCCTCCTCCTGTGACCGGCGACAGCTCGGTGGAGCGACCTCCTGCTGAACATCGAGGACCAGGCAGTGAGAAAGAGGTGAAGCAGAAGGAGGTAAGGCATCAAGAGGCATCCAAAGAGAAAGGATCAAAGGCGAGGCAGGAGGAAAAGGCACCTAGGCACGCAGAGGCATCGAAGAAGCATCCATCGAGGCCGGCCTTTCACGGAGATCAGGAGATTGAGGCTGGTGAGGGACTGAGTCAGGAAGAGCGGGAGAAGGCTACAAAGAGTCTGGCCGCGAAGAAGTTGCCCAGTCCCCCTGTTCGAACCCGTGAACGATCTCCCAAGCCTGAAGTGAGGGTAAAGAAAGAAGAGGAGGCCGCAGACTACAGTGGAGACGAGTGGCCCGTTGAGGAGCCTGGCGTTCGGGAGGTTTACAGTCAATCTCCTAGCCGGGAAGACAAGAAGAGAGATTTCGAAGGGAGTCCATCGCCCAAGAAGAGAAAGCATCGCCATCATCACGACAGGTCCCGTGATCGGAAAGCCAAGAAGCACGAGAGGTCTTCATCGAGTACACCTGTGGCTGGACCTAGTCGACCTGAAGAGGAGGTTAGAGAGGTGAGACGCCCGAGATCGCCATCAAGGCCGCCGCCCCACTGGACAGGTCCAGCTCCCAGGGAGAACAGGTACGTCTTGAAGCCGAGACCTACCAAGGCAAAGCCAAAGGAGGACGGTGGATCCAACAAAGGCTTGAAGAAGAAGGAAACCCAAAAGACCTTTAAGGAGTACGTTGCTTGGCGAAGAGCGGAAAAGACGAAAGGGCGGTAGATGCCTCCTCGGCCCTTGAGGAGACCAGCCGTTGGTGGGAGGCCGCCAGCCCTTAGAAGAAGGAGAGAAGAGGACGAAGGAGAGCGAGAAGGTGACGGAGTTCGTCGTCGTCCATCTGCTGCAGACGAAAGAGTCAGAGGTTTCGAGGAAGGTGGCATTGTGGACGCCTTCACTCTTTCTTGTGGGAGTCCTCAACCCAGGTTTGAGACTCCTCGAAGAAGGGAGGTACTGGGGGCGAGACATCAACCTTGCCTTTGAGGTTGAGTCAGTTCAGATCCAAGGAGGTGCACTGGAGGTCATCGCCCTGGTCCACGTGAAGAAGCTGCAGAGGAGGAGTGCTTCGGATCCTGGATGGGTCGACAACCTCAAAGGGTCCAGCGGAATGGAAGACCTTGCAGAACGATCGGATGCCGCAGCCCGAGCTGGCGGAGGAGGTCCCGGCCCGGCAGCCGAAGCGATTCCAACTCCTGGAGGAGGAGAAGAGGAGAAGGTGTCGTCCGAGAGCAGCGAATCTCGAAAGAAGAAAAAGAGAAAGAAGAAAAAGAAGAAGTCTTTCAAGGTAGGAGGAAAGCAGGAGTACGGGGCCCTGTTTGCCGGAACCGGCCTGGACAAGGATTCAAGGACACGGAAGAAGGTGTC